TTTTTTGTTAATTTAACTTTCTCCATATAGACTTTCATTTTAATTGTATTGACATGTTGTAAGAAATAATTTATGTTTTAGTTTTTGTGAGTTAATCATTTTTTTATATTGCTTTCTTCAGTAATTAGTATAAAACATCACTTTGGTTTGTTAAGATTTTTATGTTAATTTTTTAAATATTTTCCCAAAATTTATAAGTTTTAAATGACTTTCTTTTTTTATAATTTAAGATGAATGTTTTTTTGGTAGTATTGATATTTTTAAATAATAATTTTATATGTTTCTATGACAATTTAATCTTAATTTTTTTTAAAAAAAATAAGTTACTCATTTAAAATATATGTGCTAATTGTTTTTTTAATTTAACTTTTTCATATTGATAAATTACATATTAGTTTTTGTTAGTTTAGTTTTTGTGACAATGAGTTTCCATTTTATTTTCACAATAGATTTAAACTTTTGACATAAGTTTATTCTATTTAATTAAAAAGAAAATTATCTTAATTTTCCTCTATTGTGATAATTTTATATGTTTGTATGTTTTAATTTATTGTAATTATTAATAATTTTTATGTTTACTGAAAAACGCTGATATAGACTAATCAGATTGAGTATATATGTCATATGTGAATGCTCTCATTGGTCTAAAACATCTACACAGACCACAACTAATATATTTTAAGTTAGCAGCTCAGATTTTAATTGTTTGTCGTGATTAAAATTTTAAAATAATTAAATTATAGTTTCAAATACAGTTTTTGATAATTTTGTTCACTATATATGATTTTTCTTTCATAATCTATTTATATGTTAATTTACCTTTTTATTGTTAATAGAAAAATAAGATCTATTTTCAAAATTCAATTTTATTAATAACTAACTTCAAATTTAGAAACTTTCCTAATAACAACAAAAACAAAATTAATTAAAATTTAGAAATTTTCCTTATAACAATTAAAACGAATTAATTAATTTTAATATACAATATATAATTAACTAAAAATAATGATGATGTGTACCAATAGAATTGATTCTTTAAATTCTATGTGGACACTCTTAGAGGTATTTAGTATCAACTTTTATTAGTAATAGACTAGGTATATAACTTGCGATACGCGCGAGTCTATATTAATATTTTGGTTTAATTTTTTAGCTGCTATCTTTAAAATTATTAAAAATATAATATATTTATATAAAATTTTATTTATATAAGAGAATTTAATATATAATGTGTAATTTATCTTATTTTTATTTATAAATTTTTAAAAACTATTAAGTAGAATAATAACAATGATATCTATCGAATTATCCAACTTTGACGTACATATACATTTGATTTAGAGAAATATTACCTTGCTAATATTTTGATATTATTTTCTGTTTTCCATAGAATTTCTATAGTTCTTTTTTTCTTGAAGTTTTATGTGTTCAAATATTTAGTTTTTTATTGAAAGTCTTATTAATCTTGTGTACTACTGCATATATAATCCATAATTCATGTTGATTCACATTTAATTTTGTTAGGAAGCTGTAATGATCATGCAAAACCATTTTTCTTCTCCATCATGTATACCAAGAGTTTTATGTTATATTTTTATTCAGTTTTCATTATTTTAATTGTTAAATAGAGTTGTTGTAGATTTTTTTTAAATTGATAATAGTTACTTATTTTAAAACATGTATTGTTAATTTTTAATTTTTTTTATTTAACTTTTAAAATTTTAAACCATATTAATATTTTCTGATTTAATAAATATGTTGATTTGGATCAATCAGATTGAATTTATTTTTTTTGTTGGACATATTTTGTTAAATTAACTTTTAATGTTTTAATTATAGTTAATAATTTTTTGTTTGATTAAAAAGCTGATGTGGATCAATTAAATCAAGTTTTTTCGTCATAATCATACTTAACATTTCTTTATTTAATGAATATGTTAATGTAGACCAATCAGATCGAGTTTTTTTAATCTCGTGTGGACGCCCTCAATGCACTATGTCATCAACTTTTATATACTATATGATTACTCTTGATTATACCTAATAAATCTGTATTTCTTCTTTCTATATAATCCCATATAAAGTTATATTTAAAATGAATTTGGCGTAGCTTCTATTTTTTTTTAAAGAAATTTCATTATGTTTGTTAAAAAAAATGTAGAAAAAATTGTTTATATGAATCACTTTCGATTAAATAAAATGTATGAATCACTTTCGATTAAATAAAAAATAAGAAAATAATGTATTTATATTTTTCATTAAACAATCTTTTTTAATAAACATCTTTTATTTATATATGTATAAAAGGATTAATATTATATATCAATTCTTTTAATAAATAATAACATCTTTTATTCATATATTTATAAAAGGATTAATATTATATATCAAATTTTTTAATAAATATACTTATATTGACCCACGGTTGGACCAAATCAATCCATATTGACCCAATAACTCGGTGATCCGTGAAATGTTCCGGTTCATAATCCGGATCAGGTTTAAAAACAGTGCTTTTAAGTAATGGTTTTACGTTATTTAGAAGTTTGACATGATAATTATTAATTAATGATCACGTAAGATGGAGCGGGATGCGACGCCTGTGAGTTGTATTTTGTTAAGCCCAAGAGAACTATTATATGTATATTTTTTTAGTTATCTTTTATATTATCTGAGAAAATAGAAATGAATATTTACTTTAGCAGTACTATTTAGTTACATACGCAAAGCATTCGGTATTGGAAAAAAGTGAAAAAAAAAAAATTGTTTACAATAAAAATAGGAAAATTTGCTACAATAACCTTAAATAGATTTGAAATAGTACAATTTGTAAGATTTTTGTAATTAATTTTCTATTAATATTCTTAAACATATCATATATATTCTTTGTTTTTCCACATAAATACTATAATTAATAATTTGAAAATTGAAAAAGAATATAACTATTAAATACAAATGTTATGAATTTAAATAAGGAAATTAAAATCATCAAATCATAAATGAATTTTTTTTCAAAAAAGAAAATGTGTAGAAATAAGAAAAAGGCAATAGTTTTGAAAATTTTAATTTTAGTATGTTTGTCTACTATTTTTTTGGCAGACTCTTCAAATTTTGGCAGATGCAACGGAAGTCTTCCAAATATGTCGGCAGACTTTAATATCAGTTTACTAGTCTACCATTTTTTTGACAGATGGAACATAAGTCTTCCAAACATTTCAGCACTTTAATTTCAGTATGTTAGTCTACCATATTTTTAATAGACTCTTCAAGTTTTGGCAGACGCAAGGGAAGTCTTCCAAACATGTTGGCAGACTTTAATATCATTCTACTAGTCTACCATTTTTTTGGCAGACTCTTCTAATTTTTGGCAGACGGAACGGAAATCTTCCAAATATTTTGGCAGACTTTAATTTTAGTATATTAGTCTACCATTTTTTAGGTAGACTCTTCAAGTTTTTGGCAGACGCAACGGAAGTCTTCCAAATATTTTGGCAGACTTTAATTTCAGTCTACTAGTCTACCATTTTTTTGTGCAGACTCTTCAAGTTTTGGCGGACGCAAGGGAAGTCTTCCAAACATGTCGGCAGACTTTAATATCAGTCTACTAGTCTATCATTTTTTTGGCAGATTCTTCGAATTTTTGGCAGACGAAACAGAAGTCTTCCAAACATTTCGACAGACTTTAATTTCAGTATATTAGTCTATTATTTTTTTGATAGACTCTTCAAGTTTTTGGCAGACGCAACAGAAAAATTCTAAATATTTTGGCAGACTTTAATTTCAATATGTTAGTCTACTCTATTTTTGGTAGACTCTTCAAATTTTTGACAGACGTAACGGAAATCTTACAACTATTTTCGCAGACTTTAATTTCAGTCTACTAATCTACCATATTTTTTACAGACTCTTCGAATTTTTGGCAGACGCAACAGAAATTTTCCAAATATTTCGGCAGACTTTAATTTCAGTATGTCAGACTACCTTATTCTTGGCAGGCTCTTTGAATTTTTTGCAATGGAAGTCTACCATTTTTTGGTAAACTCTTCGAATTTTTGACAGATGCAACATAAGTCTTCTAAATATCTTGGCAGACTTTAATTTCAGTATGTTAGTCAACCGTATTCGTAGACTCTTCAAGTTAGATACAAGGGAAGTCTTCACAAATATGTCGGCAGACTTTAATCCCAGTCTACTTGTCTATCATTTTTTGGTGGATTCTTAGAATTTTTGGCAGATGCAACAGAAGGCTTCTAAATATTTTGGTAGACTTAATTTCAGTATGTTAGTCTAGCATTTATTTTGGAGATTCTTCGACTTTCTGGCAGAATTTTATATTTTCGTGTGCTTAAATCTAAATCTTAAATTTTGTTTTTCATATTTTATTTTTGCTTTGCAGAAGACAGGTGAAAAAGAAGAAAAAAATGGTACTATTAATGAATAGATGATGAAAAAAGTGGCATAATAGATGCATGTAGTGAAGATGAGGAAAAAAAGTGATAGAATAAATGCATGTAGTGAAGATAACTTTGCTATGGTAATTGATGCTTTTGAATGAATATAATTGCAAATGAAATCTCAATTCCACATTTGTTTGTCTCCACATTCTGAAATAAATTACATAAATCAATACATAAAATATAGACAGAGAAGATAAATGATCCACCAAATTAAGTTAATTAGAGTCATTGGTTTCTAAAATCAGCAGGTGTATTGTACTAATCAATAATGATATATTTTATATTTCCTTTTTTGATAAACAATAACCAAACATATTTATTTCTTATAAACAATAACGAAATTAATATATTAAATTAGAGAAGGATAATTTAGGAATTACGGAATTAGTTGGATGGTTAGTAGGTTATTCTAGTCATTTTATATTTAGTGGTAGCTATTTTAAAAATAAAATGAACTATTCTGGATAATTTTCTAAATATGTCACTTTATTCAAATAAACTTAAAATATGGTACAAGCTATAACAAATTTTAATATTGTTGTTTGATGTTAAATAATACTGAAATGCATTGAAATTTGCAGAAATTTAGCTTTAATTTATCTTTAATCATTCTGTGATCAATCAGAAACCTTTACAAAATGATTTAATGAATACACAACAGCAAAAAAATTGGCATTTAAAAAACTAAAACAATGGAGGCCTCAATCATACCACATTGGTCCATTTGGTGAATGTAGTAATGAGATAATGTGAGAGTTTGCAGAGTGCATCCTGAGAGAACACCAATCCAAAGACCTTTAACTTTGAAGTCAAGAACAAAGCAGAAGACTAGTCCAATTGGAATCCCAACAATGTAAAACGCAGCGATATTCACATACGCACCAATCTTCTGTTTACCACTTCCTCTCACAATCCCTTCAAACACAAACACATATATAACAAAATAGAAACTTTTAGTTAGAAAATCTATTTCTTTCGTGTGTTAATTTATAAGGTTTCTCACCGGTTAGCGAGGCTGACAAGCTGTCCATAACAATAGAAATGCAAAGAATCGGTGTGATTTCTGCAGCGTAACGTATCACTTCAGGTACGTTACTATAAGCGTAGCCCCAAACATGACGTGACATGAACAGAGCAAAGCTTGCGGCAGAAGATTCAACAGCTGCAATCATGATTGCGACAATCGCAGAAGCTTTAGCTGCGACTAGGTTTCCAGCTCCTAGTTCGTTAGCTACATTCGTGCTACAAAATTTAGCAAAATCCAATTTCAGAGGAAATAAAAAATCAAATAGTTATTAGCTGACTCAGACTTTGATTTTCTGTTTGCATTTCTTTCGAGATGACTTAAAATGAAACCGCAGTCACTTAAAATAACTTGAAGCATAGAGTATATAAGAGATATGGATTAATCCACTCATTGATAAAAAAAAAAGTTTATGTTGTAATTTCACAAAACTTAACATATATATATATATATATATATATTGTCAATCGGTTTTGAGTTGGCAAATTTCGTGAAATCTACGATCAACAATTTTATTGTTTTAATATTTTCTATGAAAGTAAAAGGCAAACTGGTTAAATGAGTTATGCTATTTTACATCTGAGTTCACACTTTGCAAAATACATTATGAAAGTGTCTTACTAAAAAGAGATTCACCGTGATCTGAGTCTAATAGATCACTGAAAATTATATACACAAACTGACCTTGCGGCAGCACCGATAGCAGTTGCTAGATTGTAGTGCAAAGAAGAGGTTGTCACGCTGTTCACATGAAAATGTAGCATTACTCATACGAAACGATTAGAGAGTACATAGATTGATGCTACAATATCAGGCCTTTGTATTAATTACCACAAGGAGATCACAGATGTCTCTAGCTTTGAGTTTGGCAATACTCCCGAGATAAGAATCAAAATCTCGAAAGCTGACCATTCAAGACTAACCATTATAGCAGAAGGAACCGCTAAGGAGAAGAAGATACTCATGTGACCAAACGCATCCATCGATATTAAAACCCGTTTGCCTTCGCAAACTCGAGAATGTCTCATGTAAAGCCATAGCAAACCGGCGTTAAGCCAATAGGAAATGCTAATAGATAAGGCTGCACCTTTGGTTCCAAGCCCTAAAGTGTAGACCAGTACCCAACAAACCGGTAGGTGGAAACATAGAACGGTTAAAGAAGTGATAACCATTGGGAAAATCATGCTTTGTGTTTGAAAGTAGCGAATCAATGATTGTAGAACAGAGTAACCGAATAAAGCGGGTATGAGCCAAAGGCAGTAAACAGAAGCTATCTCCGATATTTTGGGGTCTTGGTGAAAGAATAACAAAAGGTTCTCCATGAAAATCCATAGAAGAGAGATTGGGAAACATATGATGAGAAGAGAAACAATGGAAGTAAAAGTATATAAACCAAGCTTCTCGTACTGACGAGCTCCAAAGGCTTGACCACATAGTGTTTCTAATGCACCCGCTAGTCCAACCTGTTAGTCAATGAGTTGAATCTAAGAAAATCGGATTCAAAACAGAAAAAAATGGCAGATTTAATAGGATCAAATGTTATAAAAAAAAGGATAACATGTATGCAAATATATGCGGTTCTCATAATTCAAACTGTAATCTTAATTTTGGTTTGCCAATATACGCGGTTTTCATATTTTTTCCGGGATTATTATAAATTAAATAAAATAAAACAACCAAACACTTTTTTATGGGTTTGTAAATGATCTTCTTACCAGGAGACTAAAGCCGGTAACGTTAGCGATGGAGCTGGCGAGAGAGATACCAGCGAGGGAGATCTCGTTTTTGTGGCCAACGATCATTGTAGAAGTGGCTTGAAGAAGGGATTGAGATATGTTTACGATCACCATTGGAGCCGCCATGGAAGCAACTTTCTTCAACTTCTCCCATCGTATCTTCTTGTTTTCTTCTTGCTTAGCCTTTACCAGTAATGGATCTTCCATAGCTGTTTAAAGTTCTTAAAAGAGAAAATGTGTATGTTTGACCCAAAAAAAAAAGAGAGAGAGAAAATGTGTGTAGTCTCTCTTTTTTTCGGTCAAACTAATCTGATGAATATAGAAAATATCTACAGTCTTGTAGTGAAACACCCATCTGTTTTCACTAATCAAGGTTTGACTTTCTTTAACAACTTTGACATGATAAAGCTCAGATCGCTAGATTTGGAACTTTCTTATCTATGGTCGACGTGCCACTACGTAGGCCTGTCAATTATTTAATGAAAATAAACGTGCTAGTACGTAGGCCTATTTTGAAATAGAAAGGGTCCCTATTGGTTAATTAAAACCCAAAGTAGACCAAATTCATTAATCTTTCCACCATTTTTCTTAGTCCACTATGCATAGCTTCATGTTGTACATTGACATGATTAACCAAATACAAAGAGAAATCTAGCTTCCAAATAGATCGGAGTCCAAAACTAAAAGACACCACTACGAAAATTTAGGTAATGCATTGGAGAGACTAGAACCAAATTAATTGTCACCGAGGGCCAACCAACAGCCATTATCGTTTGTTGAAGACATTTACACATCAGGACTAACATTGAAGAAGGGGAGATCCCACTTTGAATCCAGAGGTTGAAGAACAAGGGCTTTAGTTTTGACAACCCAAAATATCTTGTAATCTTGAGAAGAATTATGATTGGCTTTTTCAGGGTTGGTAGGTGGAGTATCTATGAAATATTGAGAACTTATATTTTTTTCTTTTGCGAGACATATTTGGAATTCATTGGAGTGTAGAAGCCAAGATCAAAAGGATCTCCTTTCAACTTTTACAATTGATTAATATTTATAAGCTAAGATGCTTTAGGTTTAGAGTCTCTTGCTAAGGAATAAGAATTTTAATATTTTCCTAACCCATCGGTAGTGGTTAGGTAGTAACTCGCGGAGGTTTTGGTTTGATTCTTGTTTGGAACTTAGAGCATCTCTAACGGAGGGTTTCAAATGCAGATTCTAAACAATTAAAAAATTAAAAAAATTGAAAAGGAAGAGAGAAGGAGGAGAGGCGCGAGTTTTTAGAAATGGACTCTCACCACTTGGCAGCATTTAATTTGTTTATCTTTTAAAAACAAAATAAAATTTAATCAAATAATGATATTATACTAAAATATTATTTAAATAAAGATCAGAAGCCCATTTTTTATAACTCACTGTTGGAGGTGGTCTTAGACAGCTATATCTGTTAATTTGGATGATGCGGGATTCTACTAATACTTCATCTTTGAAATCCGGATGTTTAACATAGGAATACCAGTTTGTATAACAGAAAAAAATGATTACTAAAATAAATTTTGGATTTCTACTGATTCGGGAGATTAGTATGGGTTTTGGTTTAAGAATCTTCCAAATATCAAAAAGAAAAAGGCCGAACAACATTTTCTTGGGTTACGTTAGCAAGGCCTGTAAGTTGAGGTGAACCGTAATGCCGAGGCCTGTGAGTTTTATTTGGTATGCCCAATAACATTATAATTGTTAGGGCTGAGTATTTGGGGGTACCAAATCAGGTTTTGATCAGGTATTAGATTTTTTTTGGATCAGCCTCGATTTAGCACTCATTGTTTCGGATTGGTTCGAATATAATTTTTTAGATTCAGTTTTTTCTTATAATTTGTTTGGATTCAATTATTTTTATCCAAAACATTTGAAAAGTAACCAAAAATACTTGAAAATCTCTAAAATCTAAGATTTTTTGAGATTTTTTTTATGTCAGTATAAAAAATAGAGAAATTTGGTTCAATAACCAAAACAAAACTATAATCTAAATACTAAATATTTTATTTTTCTATCTCTTACTATCTCTCTCTACACATTTGGTTAAATTTCAAATTATAATTTTTTGTTTGGTTATTCATCAAATTCACCCTAAAATTATATTAGTGTTTTGGAACGAAACATATCATAAAATTTAATATCTATAAGAAAATGTATAAATGTTAGATACTTAAAATTCCAAGATTTTCACTTAAAATTTCAAGATTTCTCTGGCTCGAGAAACATAAATCTTAATTTTTTTTTAGATCCATCATTTATTCATTTTATATAGATATTAAAATTTATGATATGTTTTGTTCCAATTTTTGCTGTACTTACTCTCATATCTATGCTATAAAAATGACCAACTCTCTCCATATAAGTGTCACCTCATCATTTTAGTTTATTGTGAAAATGACATGTGTCATTTTTTTAATTTAATGATACAAATTATGTAAAATACAGTTAATGCATAAATTTAATGTATTATTAATCATAATACTAAAAGAATATATAAAAAATATGAAGAATTAAATAATATATTTTAATAACAATATATACTTAATATCCAAAAACAATTATTGAATATCTATTTTGTGGTAGTTTTTAAAAATCATTAACAAAATTTATGTTTTATATTTAAGAGTGTTTTCTTATTTTTAATTAATATTATAAAATATTATTATAAAAACAATTATACAAATATAAAAATAACAATTATTTGATATTTTGAACTTTAAAAAGTTAGAAAAAAAATTTATACAATATTATAATAAACTTTAAAATAATTTCTTTATAAACTAATAATTATTTGATAATTTATTTTATTCAAACTTGATCCATTAATAATTTTAAAATTAATAAGATATCAAAGTCCTTATATATATTTATAAAATATTTAATGCAGCTGTATAAATAGAATTATAAATCAATTATTTTAGCTCATAAAAATATAAAATCACGATATTGTTATTATATAAATCTACGCCGTGAACAAGTACGATCTGTTAAAAAGAGCCGTCTCTATCTATGTTGTGCTTGAAGCTAGAGTTTCTCTAATTAATTTTTGTTATATAGTACTTCTCTGATTTGCACTATATCCATTTAATATGTTTTATATATACAAGGTATAATATATTTCATATTTTTTTATCAATAAACCATTGATCACATATATAGTTAATATCTATATAATATGTAAATATGTATTTTATATTTTTTTAAATACATAATATTTTTAAAAAAATTTTAAATATATGATAAAATAAATTATAACTACACTTTTTAATAAATTATATTGTGAAAATAAATTCGCGCATCGCGCGGATACTCATCTAGTTATATTCAATGTGTTGATATTATTTGTAATTTCTCCGTGCAATAATATTAATATTTACACAATGACATATAATTTGATGTAAAGGTTTTGGCTGGTGAGAAAATAGAAAGCAAAAATAGCATATGTATTTAATTGTTTTTTTTAAGTAGCATATGTATTTCGGGACTCAGGACAAAAAATTATGGGTAATAAACGATAACAAATAGTTTGGAAAATTAAACGAGAACGACCCGTTTAGATAATATCAAAAGTATCACTATAAAATAATGACATAGAACAATCCCGAAACTTCCTACCCGATACATACCCAAAGTTTGACTTAAACGGGTAAAGGTTAGATAAGATTTCGGGCAAAGATCCAGATTACTCGGATAATGTAAATATCATTAATCTTAATGATAACTATAATTAATCAAAAGCAAAATCTCTATGATATCCTTAGCTCATAGCGTAGACGTTTATCGTAGCTATAGCTATGCAAATATTGTTGCGCCAACCCTTAAATAAACTGGGAAGGGATCAAAAGTCCGCAACTATATAAAAACAAGATCATAAAGACCATTGATATAGTAAATAGTGTGGGACAACTTATATGAAGACATAAAGACGTCAGAAATTATCCAACCAGCTATTATATCCAATCATAATGCCTCACATGCAAGATAGACTAGATAGTTCATCATCCTCACTCTTAGAAGTTGTGAGATAATCTTAAGAAGACGATACTTAATTTTTAATTATTATGCATCTTCTTGGGTAGGTAACTCATTTTGTATAACCAGTTGTTGCTCCAATGGAAAACGCTTCCACGTGGTTGTCTGCCACTACGATCACTTACCTACTCACCTTGACTCTTGCGAGTATTGTACTTATCTCTTGTCGGAGAAAGTATTCAAATTTGATTTTTCTCTTTTCTGACATTTTTGTTCTTTGTATTGGTTATGCCTTTGTCCACTTCTTATGTTCAAAAAAAAGAAAAAAAAAAAGCTTTGACCACTTCTTGGTTCATTTATTATAAGATAAAATTATAATTTTTAATGATATACATTTCAACTTTGTTAGACTTTGAAATCATATAAAAGTCTATAATTTTCTCTCAAAATCAATTACAACTATTTAAAAAACAAATCAATTACAATCAACCTCATAACTCATTTGTTTTCGATCCCATACATTTTCCACATGGGATCCCCTATTATATATATCCTTTTAAGGAATGAGTGAAGTGGAAAATTTTAAAATCTAAAGCCGTTGAAATTCATTGAACAAACTCAATAGAAACGCAATCAGTGATCAACCATAATTCGTATTCCTTGTTCAATTATCCAAACAGTCATGCATCACAACTTTCTCATCCAGCATTCTCTCCCTAGCTTTGTTTGCCTGCAAAATTTCCCAAAATAAAGTAGAAACAAATATTAGCTCAATGCCTCAAAAATCGAACAAGGGATATAGAAACAAAAACCAAAGCGATTTGTGCGGTTTTGATTACCTCGTTGGTCCAATTTGTGAATCCAATAACAAGAAAGAGGATTACGGTTTGCAGTGTAGATCCTGTGACTAAACCAGCCCAGAGTCCTTTCCCATGGAAGTGAAGATGAAAACACAATAGAAGTCCAATGGGAATACCAATGACATAATAAGAAGCTATGTTCACATAAGCTCCAATTTTCTGCCACCCTGTTCCTCTCACAATCCCTATAAACACAATGCAACATTCGGTTAACGACCACAAAACACGGCTCCTAAACCGGAGAGAAGATTAGTAAGAGGGACTAACCGGAGAGGACACACAAGAAGCTGTCCATGAGGATGGAAATGCAAAGAATGGGAGTGAGCTCAGTCACATAACGAGTTACTTCCTCCACATTGCTATAAGCATAAGGCCATACATTGCGAGACAAGAAGAGAGTAGAGCTCACAACCACTGACTCAACGGCGGCAATAATTACCGCAGCTGAAGCAGAATCACGAGCACCTCGTGGATTCCCAGCTCCTAGCTCATTCGCCACATTGGTACTAAAACAAATATCGCAAAATGAACATAAGCTCAAAATGAAAATATGTGAAATCACGATTTAACAGTATTAAAGTAAAAACAAACCTCGCTGCATCACCAATTCCATTTACCAAATTGTAGTGCAAAGAAGAGGTCGTTAGGCTGTTCAAATCCAAAAATCAAGGCTTAGAAAATCAAGGAGTATTTAGTATAATATTTTTTTGGTGGTTCGATACATTACCAAATTGAAATAACCGACGTTTCGAGCTTTGAGTTGGGTAGAAGACCAGACAGCAAAGTAATCACCTCGAAAGCTAACCACTCAAGGCTATTGAAGAAAAAAAGAAACAATAACCACACAAAAAGGTTAGCAGAATATTAAAGAAAAAAAAAAAAATAGTAAGACCATTAGATTATTATTTTCAGCGACCAAAGATCTCACACCGAAACTCAGACTAATACCCATAGCTCAGCCAATGATGACCACTAGACTACTTGGTTAATTTATTGTAAATTTTCTATAATATCTTTACATGTTCAATCTAATGTAAATCCTTACATACTTACCAACACATCATTGCAGAAGGAACTGCAAAGTGAAAAAAGATTTTTGTGTGAGTAAACACATCCTTGGACATATAAATCCGCGTTTTGAGGCACGCTTGAGACCGCTTCATGTAAACCCAAAGAAAAACCGCGTTGAGCCAGTAAGAGATACCGATAGAAACAGCCGCTCCTTTGACTCCAAACTCGAATCTGTGAACCATTAGCCAACACAGAGGAACATGGAAAGCTAGAGCAGCTAGAGAGCTCAATACCATTGGAAAAATCAAGCTTTGTGACTGAAAATATCGAACCAGCGATTCAAGAACCGAGTAACCGAATAATGCCGGTATGAGCCAGATGCAGTAAACCGCTGCTAGCTCAGCGACTTGAGGGTCTTGGTGAAGCAAGATCAAGATCTGGTTCATGAACATCCAAAGAATCGAAACTGGAAAAGCGATAATCAAGAGATAGACCATTGAAGTGAAAGTGTAGGATCCAAGCTTGTGATATTGTTCTGCTCCATATGCTTGACCACATAGTGTTTCCAATGCACCTGAAAGTCCAAACTGTTGCATACAAAATGACTTTAACAATCATAATTTTTCTTATAAAAAAATGATTACAAAATCACAGTAAAAATAATTAGATTTGCTTACAAGAATACCGAAACCGGTGACATTAGCGAAAGAGCTTCCAAGGGCTATTCCGGCGAGAGAGAGTTCGCTATGGTGACCAACGATCATTGTAGAAGTTGCTTGAAGAAGGTACTGAGACATGTTTACGGCGACCATTGGAGCAGCCATTGAAGCAACCTTCTTCATCTTCTCCCATCTTATTTTTTCTTTCTCTTCTTGTTCTGATTGCCTGTTCTTGACCAGTAATGGAGCTTCAATACTCTTCATCTTGCTTTCTGTTTAGAAAATATGGGAACTTGGGTCGAATGTATTTACTTTAGATTTTTGCATTAATGTGTAATCTACAAATAGACACGCGACCCGAAGAAAATAGACACGTCGCTGATTATATTAGTTTACGTCTAAAACCAAAATCGTTTCCGACTTTTTATCGTCTCATTCATTAAACACATGTAGTAAGCAAGATAATAAAAATTTATCCGTTAAAAATAAAATAAATCACAAAAAATTAAAAATGTATATTCATTATATCTCAGTATGCTTTATGAACTTATATTTATCCAATTAATTCTTTAAATATTCATTTTAACAAATTACGAAGAAGGTATTTTCGTTTTGGATTAATTTAAATATTTCATATTTTTATTTATATAACTTTTTTTTGTGTGGAACAAGTTAGATATCTGAATAAAAAAGAATAAAAAAAAAGTTAGATATCTGAATAAATATCTATATTAATATCGGATATTCAGTCCATTATGAATCAGCATGATCCAAACAGAATGGAGTAGATCATAAACACCATCGGTCCATAACAATCTAAAAAAAATCTCCGCGTCCACACCCCTTCATCCTAACATGTCTATTAACATGCATATTTACATGTGGAAACTCATTCAGGCTTTTGAATAAAAATACAAAAATTGTAATCAAGTGACTTGTGCTAGTATCGGTGATTTCTCATCATCCATATTCAAGTTTTTATAATTTTTATTGATGAAGTTTTTTTTGTTTTTTTAATCTTGAATGGTTACAATATTATAAATCAATAGTAGTAAATAAAACCAACATCAATACTAAATTTTTAAGATTAATATCCATGAATAAAATCGATGAGATTCGAACACCAATCTAAACCAATATGACAAAGTCTACCAACTACTAATGTCATAATATTTCGGTTGAACCCATTTTTATCATGCAATATCAACGAATGATATATTAATAGTAGATCTAACCGAAATAATAAATTTGATATTTAGGTTTGTCAACAATTTTCTAGCTAACTGTTTTCGAGTAGTTAACGAACTTTTCAACACATAAGTGTACTGCGATAACATATTTACTTCTTCTAAGTATTTTTTTCGAATGAAATGGGTTAAAGAAAAGATATATAAAAAGGAAAGAGGAAGTCAACAGAACAGGAGGCCGAATCCGGAGATCCAGAAAAGAGGAGAGTAGAAAACCAACAAGAAGAGATGATGCAAATTATAAAGATTTCATCGGAACCCAACTGAATAACCTGACTTAGCAGCATGATTAAAGGAAAGCTCTCAACTAGAAGAGATGATGCAAATTATAAAGATCTCAAATTTATTATTTGATTTGATATTTATTGTTCTTGCTTATGTATGAGTTTGAAATTTTTTTTTATTACAGTTTATCTTTAATTAATTTTCTTTTTTTTTATTTGGTATTTAGCTTAATAGTCCGCAAACTTTCTTTGAAGTCTACATAGTAGACTTCGTTTGGAGCCTACTTTTTCGACAATGATTTCTAATGTGGTTTGAATTTCGTTTCCTTACAGAAAATGATTCATATACCTACTGTTTATAGAGAATGTGTGAAGAAAGACTAGTTGTGGTATTTCTAAGTAGTTTTACATGTTTTTTGTTATGAGTTTTACATGTTTTGTATAGTTAAAATTGAATTAATTTTCTTGTGTTATTAGAGGTTCAAAGATGGTGATGACTAAGTCTGACAAAGAAGTCTGCATATGAAATTTGAATATGATAAAACACACATAATTTAAGAATATAATAAATAACATTAATTGCAATCCAACTTTACATATAAAGTAGATCTTCTAAACAAACAAACATTTAAGGATCACTAATTATTAATCTTAAAATTAGCATATAAAAACAAAATGTATGAAATAGATATATGTGACTGAAGTCTGCTCGAGAAGTCTACTCGAGAAGTCTACGACTCAAGTCTGCTTCCAACAAAACCAAAAGAGAAATAAATAAGCTCATGTCTGCACAATAAGAAAAAAGAATGATAAAATTCATATTTCAACAAAATCTGCTATATTTACAAACATCATATCTGCAGCAAAAAAAAAAAAAAATCAGCTATGCAACAAAAAAAATTCTAAATCTGCAACAAAATAAACAAAATTCAAATCTGCAACAATAAAAAATTCAGATCTGCAACAAATTATACAAAATTTGTACTATAATAAGCGCATAATTGCAAGAATAAACTCAGATCTACAACAAAAAGCTCAAATATGTAATAATAAACTCAGATTTACAATATGAACGCAAAACAAACAACAAAGGAAACACAAAACTTCAGATTTGCTTACCATCACCATAATTAAGATAGTTGATGGAGGATAGAGCTGGGTTTGATGGCAAGAGAGGAAGGAGAAGGGATTCATGGCCAGAGAGGAGGTAGAGCAGAGATAGGCGTTTTTTAGAGTGAGAGAAAAACTTTATTTTTAACCCAATTAGGTTAATCTCCTTATATATGTAGGAAAATTTTCGGTTAACTAGACTTCTTAAGAAGTCTACTGGAGAAGTCTACTCGAAAAGTCTACTTCAGTATATTTTTTTGATTTCGATTCCCGCCCAATTTGTTCCGATTTCCGCCCAATTTGTTAAATAATTTTGATTTCCCGCTACGTTTTTTTTAAGTCTACTGGAGAAGTCTACCCGAGAAGTATACTGCATACGTTTGTTTTCCCTAAACCCTAAATCAAATATTTTTGATATTAAACTTGTATCAAAACATTAATTTCTTACCATTTTCACATTTTAAAGTTCAAATAACAATGATATGGACTCTAAATTATTAACCAAACCATAAACTATAATTCATATAAAATTTGAGTTTACCCTAAAAATTTAGTAAAAAAAATTTAAGATTTAATTATGTAGTAGACTTCTATTGTAGACTTCTAAGGGGTTATATGTTTTCTAGTTAATTTTTCTTTCTGCATATAAATTTCATTTGTATGAAATTTTGTATTCTATACATGTCAAATATATATGTTTTACTTATGTTTTAACAATTTTTTAGAAAATTATTTATTTTATATTTTCTAATTGATTTTTAAAAAACTAATTATGTAGTAGACTTCTTTTGAAGTCTACTTATGTAGACTTTTTACGTAGACTTCCCTAAAGATAGAATCGTAATTGTGGTAGACGTTTTTTATTTAGTCACAAATGACTGAGCTGTAATTTCACTACCACTTTGGATTAGTTTTGCCAAACATTCAATAAAAGGTTTACATATTGAGAAAAAATCAACTTTTAGATTATAAAAAGCAATTTTCCCATTTTTTTGTTAAAAAAATTATCTTCTGAAATCCAATATGAACTTAACATAATCCAACTTGGTTTATAGTAGACTTGTAGTACTAGTGTATACTCCAAATGGAACGTGCTTAAGAGGCCGAATGAACCTATTAACACGAGTTTCAATACTTAGAGATCCACCCTATCCCATATCTCAATGTTAAATAGTACTCCTAATTAAGCAGCGCCATTTTATAGACTCTCGTTTGCTTTTTGTGCAAGATAATTTGATTGATCAAAATAAAGATTCCTATAATTTAACGGGAGGATTAGGAAAACTGATCCATGCTCGTGATAGAATTGGATACTTTAACTGAAGTAGGATTATTCTCCTGGTAAATGAAGACGAACATGAATCAGTATCAGGTAACAAATTTCTAGTTTTTTTCCTTCTTTCCTCTCTCTTTGTCATTAAATTTTTCATCTCTGACATTTTTTGTCTTTTTTCTTTTTACTTTTTAAGAATTACGATGAATAATAATTTCTATAATTTTTGAATCAAAACATAAAATATATAAGAAAATCATTACGATTTGGTTATGCAGTTTTTTTATGTTTTCACGTTTTGAAAACTTGATTCCATTATTTTTTATCATTCATGTTATTTATCACGTTTTCATTTTTTCATATTTTTAAAACGTGATTCCACTAGCGTGTTAAAAATATAACTAGAAAAAACAAAACATGGTTAGTCTACTAAAATGAACTTTTCAACGTTTCACAATTATTCAGCCAAAATATTTTTCAGTTCAGTTTATTCCACTAATAATTTTTCAGTTATTCAGCTAATCTGACATACCAAACAGACCCAAAATTTATATATCAGAAAATCATAATGATTTTTTTTTATTTTGAATTTTGTTATTTTTAAATCACCAAAAAATACCAGAGCATCTTCATAATTAGATCCTAAATCGTGGTATACTGTGGGTCGGCTCATTAGGATTTAAGATGCCCTCCACTAATGAGCTGGTCATGTATATATTAGAGAGGAAAAGAAAAAAAAAGAAAAAAAAAGAAAAATATTTCTTAGAGAGGAAAAGAAAAAGTAAGAAAAATATTTCTTCTAATAATTTTGAAAAGTAAATCAGTCAGGAAAAAAAGAAAAAAAGCAGAAGAAAATGTTAGATGTGACTGGTTGTATCTTATAGAGAAAAAGAAAAAGTAAAAAAATATTTCTTCTAATAATTTTGAAAAATACACCAGTCGTAAGGAAAAGAAAAAAAGACAGAAAAAAGTTATTTTCTGAAACCGGTGGAAAACTGTCTTTTACCCTAATCAAGTTGGATAATTTACTCTATCTACAAATATACATTCAAGACACATAAAATATTTTTTTGATATATTTATCACTACAAAATGAGTACTGCATGTATAGATAGATCATTCATCACTCTTCTTCTCATGTAATCGGTTTGGAACAAAGATTTTTGACAAATATTGTATTGTATAATTTCAGAAAGGTAATCATTATATTTTAGTTCTTTAATTTTTTGTTTTAAATTCACACCTGTTTTTGATTTTATTATTTTAAACTAAAATTAAAATAATATCGTTTATTCAATTATTCTCACTTACTTCTACTTCCTCTCAATTTCTCCCAATTCCTCCCAATTACTTTCATTATTACCATTCAAGTTAATTTTTTTTCTTTTTTCATATTCTTCTAATTATTACTTTTCTTTTCTTCTCAATTACACTCTTCTCAATTTCTCTCAATTCTACTAATACACACCAATAAGACCCGTTATTTTCTAAAATTGATGGAAAACTGTGAGAAATTTTCTTACACTATAATCAAGTTGAAATTTTTTTTCCTCTCTAATAAACTAAAATTAAAATAATAT